CATGCCGTTCAGCGGAACCAACTTACAGGAGCTGGCACGGGCAATCGATCCAATAGAGGGCTCAAGGGCGACCCCGCGCATTCCGGAAGCGTCGAGCGGCGCCGCCGCCGCCGCCGTGAAACTGGCGACGCCGGCCGCTAAGCCGCCAGCGCCGCCAGCTGCGCCGCCGCCGGCGGCGGCGGCATGGCCGTTAGCGGCGGCGGCTCCGCCGCCGCAAGCGGGAGATCCCTGAGCCATCAACCCGCTAGCCACGGCATGGGCGTCCGGGCGGCTGCCCGGCGGCGGGCCCGGCGGGGTGCTAGGTACGATAGCGTACGAACCCGGTACGCCAGCGCACAGCGTCTGGAACTCCGCGTCGAGATCGGTGGTGATCTTGACCCGGACCAAACGTGCTAGCATCTGTACGACATGTATCGTATTGTCGTACCACATGCATGCATGAGTTATAATTGCAAGACAAAGACGTACATTCCGGGGAGGGAGGGGGGGATTTAAACGCCCCCAAAGGCATAATAGCCGACGCACGGTACGGTATGCGCCATGGGGAGGTGGGGTTGTAAAACGGTGAAAGTACGACAAAGGTTACGAAGACCTAAGGTCGAAACACGAACTTACAATGGGGGATTTGAATTACAAAATTGTTTTAAAAGAGGGGAAGAAAGCAAGCACGCACGCATGAGGGGTAGGGTTAGTAACAGTTTGTGTGCAATTTGCTGACCCAGCCCCCTACCCCCAGCCCAATGGCAGGTCTTTCCTTTAGTGTGTGTGTGTGTGTGTGTGTAGGAGGGTGGGGCTGACAAGGTCGGTTAATGTTGACCGTTGGGGGGGAAAGCGGTTACCGACCGTCACCAGCCCCCACCAACCACACATGCCACATGCAAAACACACCACGCTTGCTCCTCTGTCCCCAGCCCCCTTCAAGCTATCCCCAAATCCAACCCCGACCCCAAAAAAACCCAAAACATTATAAAACCCTAAAACCCTAAAACTCTAAAACTCATAAAACCAACCTGCAGTTTTAAAAACTTCCAAACCCTAATACATAAGACCCACCATGCTCAGCAGTTGACGAATACTCGCATGGGCACTTGATACCAGCAGCGGCGGCAACCGGGTCGGAAACGCCAAGTACAAGGCCAAAACCGCCCCTGGAGTCGCCGCCGCCGCTGCTGGTGCTGCTGCGGCGGCTGCGCCGCCGCCGCCGCCGCCAGCCCCGGGGACTGTCGCTACAGCTGCTGCAGCATCTGCGTACGGCAGCTGGTGCTGCTGGTGCTGGTGCTGCTTGCCCATGTGACATCCGACGTCAATCCCAACAAGTACAAGGGACTGCATCGCGATACGGCCGGTGGACCGTTCGCTTGCGAAGATGTTCGAGTCCGAGGCGTCCGCCGTCATATCGGCTCCGCGGACACCTCCGGCCATCAGCATGCACACATCACGGGAAGGCTGATGAACGTCCTGTTCGGTTGTGGTTTCCGTTGCGTCGGTTGGTTTTGTTACGCGAGTAAAGTAGAGGGGAGGCGGTTTTGTTCGACACGGAAAGGCAAAAAAGCGCAAGAAAAGCAAGAAACGCAAGAAAGAGCGTCCGAAGGAGGAGGAAAAAGCCGTATACGCCGTACAAACACCGTACCTGCACGTGCCGTCCGCAATCCGATACTGCAAGGCCTGTATACACGCCGTCAGGTCCCCGGCCCTCGGGCGCCGAAACCATGCGCTGTAGAAGCGTGTGCGACATCTGAAAACCCTTGGCACGCAACGACGGTACCGCACCCGCCGCCACAGCCGCCGCCGCCGCAGCGGCTTCGCACGCATGGGCGCCGGCGCCGCCGCCGGGGGTGAGCCGGCCGCCACCGACGCCGGCGCCGCCAGTCACGACGCTGGCGGTGCTGCTGACGGCGTTGGGGGTGCCCGTACCTGCGCCCGTGGCAGTGGTGGCGGCGGCGGCAGCTGCGGCAGATCGCGCTGCTGCCTGCTCCATGAGACTGCGTTTGCTCGTAGAGGCGTACGGCCGCATGGGCGCGTGTGAGGAGGTGCGCTGCGGCGGAGGACGGCCCCCCATCTGGCTGGTAAAAGAGTCGCTGCGGCGGATGCTGTCCCAACAGTACGGCAATAGTACGGCAGTGGTACAGCGGCGATATTCGGAAAACCATTGGGAGGGCAGGTAAGGCAAATTCGGGCCAAAGCTTTTCAATTCATAGCAAAGAGCTTCTGGACGCGATTCTTACGGCTTGCTACGTGTTTTTAGCGTTGGCTATCGAGGGCTGTCAAGGCACGTGCAATACTAAGACTTGACATCCGGCAGGAGAAGAACACGGGTTCCCCTGGAAAGCGGCGGGGGGTACTGCCGGGGGGTTCTTCCCCCCCCGGGCTAGATAGGAACAGCGCGCAGTTGTCCACCACTAACACCCCCATGGCCCGTACACGACCCATGGGTCGGTCGGCAGCCTACCTTCAATTGATTCTCCTGCAGTCCTCTTTAAGCTCTTGGAGACCCACGGGTCACTAGTGTCTCTTTTGCCTCTCCCCCGTAACTCCCTTAACTCCCCCACTTGACACATTCGTCCTTCCATTTCCTAACCTCTTCGCTCTTTCTTCACTAGTCCCGGGTGCGCCCCCTGCAACCCCGCTGCCTGTCGTACCTCTGCCCAGACACCAACGCGCCCCGTGGCGTGCCGCCGCCGCCAGGTAGCATCCCCCCGCCGCCGCCGCCGGCAACCCCGGCCGCCGTCGCCTGGCGGGATGCTGCCGCCGCCGCCGCCGCTGCGGCGGCAGCCCACCGCGCCACGCCGCCAGGGCCGCCAGGCTGCGGCCGATGATCCAACATAAAACTCACCGTCGAACGCGGCTCCGGAACCACCGCAGCATGCGCGACGGCATCAACAAAAAATCGCCGTCGTACATGCTGCGCCGTCGCGTCGCAAAGCTCTCCCACCAGCGCCTGCAGCGTCGCACTCGCCGCCACCCGCCGTAGCGACCCGGTCAGCCAGGACAAATACTCCAAATCGACGCCGCCAAGCAAACACATCGATACGCTGCCGGCGACCTGGCGGAGTACGGAAAGCGGCGGCAGACCGTCGTACGGCGCCGCCGGCTCAGCTTTGGCGCCGCCGGAGGCGGCGCCGACCCACAGAATGCCAAGCAGTCGGTTGCCGTGTGCGAGTGGCAGTGCGGCGAAGGAGGTGGCGGCGAGCGCCGTGTAGTCGGCGGCGCAATCGGGGGGCATGGGGGGTGTTGCGGGGGATGTGGTTCCGGAGCGTGGCGGCGGCCCGATGTACACTGCGGGGATCTGCGGAATGGGGGTTTCAAGGTTTTAGGGGTTTTAGGGTTTCGGGCTGATTGGAGTTCGAATTGGGTTTAAGTAATTCTAAGTAAAGTTAAACTTTAGATAACCTACTGTAATCCCAATACTCATTAAAGTTAGGTTTCAGGTAAGGGTTGGGGGGGGGTGAGCCATACGTGGGTAACCATGGGGCAGCTGCCCCGAGAGTGCAGCACTGCCAGGCATAGCAAACTCAGGGCGGCTTTGTGTCTGTGTTCAAACTGGGCCCATTGATGGCATGTGTATGTATGTATGTATGTATGTATGTATGTATGTATGTATGTATGTATGTATGTATGTATGTATGTATGTATGTATGTATGACGTTGATTACACTGTGGGCTGAAAAGCCGGGGGCCCAGGGCCGAAACACAGCGCGGGGGGCGGGTGCACACGGCTGGTTAGTCTCATGCACTCCGCCCCCGGGTCAGGCCGCACGGGAAACGACGGCCGGCACGCAACAGCGCTCGTTTGGCGCTCCAACTAGACGGGATCTATGCCCGCTGGTCCCCTAACATAAACGAAGTCGCAACTGGGGGGCTCTTCCTGCCGACCGAACGAACCGAGCATCTCAGAGAGCTCGCTACCAGGACCTGGGCGACCGGGAGCCCGACGAGTCATCCCGGGCTGGGGAGGTCACCAAGCTCAAAAATCCTCACGCAAAAAAGAGCGTATGTATGTATGTATGTATGTATGTATGTATGTATGTATGTATGTATGTATGTATGTATGTATGTATGTATGTATGTATGTATGTATGTATGTATGTATGTATGTATGTATGTGTACATGGGTATACGTTCCGGAGGCAGGGCCCCGGGGGTGGGGTATTATTGACATTCCCACCCATGCATGGGTGGGAATGTGCGGCGTGAAAAGTCACCGTGGCACAACCCACATCCCTCTCTGCCCCCTTCGTCACTCTCGCCTCCCTCGTAACCCCAACCCAACCTTGCTGTGTACGGCTTGCTGCAGTAGCGGTGGCCAGTGTGAGGCAGCAGGGTTGGCGCCACCGCCACCGCCGCCGCCACCAGCTGCCGCTGCCCCAGCGCCAGCATCCGGGGTGGTTGGCAGCGGCGGCGGTGGGGTGGAGGGAATAACAATATGCTGTCCGGGCAGATCGGGAAGCTCCGGAGGAGGGGGCCGTGTCGGGGAGGAAGATGATGTCTTAGCGGTGGCGGCGGCGGCGCCACCGCCACCGCTCCCACCGGCTGTGCGTTTCCAGTCTACGGCTAACAACATTAGATGGCCGGCGGAGTCTTCCTCCACGTCGTCCGTTGACCAGCCGTAAAGCCTTAGAATGGGGTAAAGGGAAGGGGGAGGGGAAAGTCTGATGGTTGATGGTGCATGGTATGGCACGGAAGCAGCTCCACGGCAGTGGGGCTGCCGATAATACATATTAATGAGGCTCGTGATGCATGTAATGAGGATGTTATTTAAGCAGGGATAATACCAGGGAGGAAAAGCTTGCTCACGGAGGGTCGTCGCCGTGCACATATCTCAATCGCAGCAACAAAAGTGTGCGCCCGCCCGCTGGCAATTTTGCACGCGATAATCCTGTAATGGATAAGGAAGTGGTTCGTCCAATTTTCCTTCCCATTACAAAGTGTGCGACTCTTGGCCAACGCAATTGCGCCCCGGACTCCGAGAAATACAAGACCGTTAAAGCAGAACCAGGCCAATCAACACATAATCCATAGCGAGCAAATGTAACATGGCTGTTGTTGCTATCGCAAGGCGACCCTATGGGCGGCGCCGGCCCTCCCGGAAATGGACAATTGTATGCATTGCCATGCAGCACCTGACGTGACTCGAAAGACAGGCCTTAACCCGTTTGCAAGAAACCATAATGCCTCCTATTCAACGTGCTCACCTGACGACTTTGGCATGGAGATGCCGAAGAACTAAAGCTGCTATTTGTGAAATCCGAGCCTCGGCGCTGTCGGTCGGCATACCCGACAAAGCGGCTTGGAAACTTTGTACGAAGGCGTCATCTCGGCGTTGGGCCTGGAACGCGCAAGCAAGCCCGTTTGCCTGGAGAACCCATTGCACAATATTTTATCGAGAGCTTACCTCAAGCGCGGCAACATCCACTCCCTTGTCTTCAACTGGCGAGATGAACGGTATATCATCTGGCTTAGGGCTCCCCCCAAAGCACGCGAAACAGCTAAGTGGCATGCTTATTTCCTACGTTGAGACCCTGGATTATGACATCTTTCCACGCTGTACTGTGGCGATAACATCACCCACATGACATCCTCTTCCAGAGCCGTTGACAACGAAACGTTGTCGCAAAGCCTGGAATTCCGTATCTCCCTGGTCTCGGAGCAGAAGGAATTGTGTCAACTCATCCTCTCTGAATGGCGGCTACTTAGTCGGTTGGATGCATAGAAACGTGCAGCAAATATCCTCAACCTAAATAACCGTGTGTCTGTCGCAATTCGTGCGATGTGTTGTAACTCTGTCAAGGGAACTGATGCACTGCGCAACAATCAGGGGCTGCCATCATTTACGTAAGTCATGCGTACAGATCGCGACTGTTTGTGGGCTTAATTTTAGGCTCACACTAAAGGCCGATCGTTAACTTGAAACTGCCGTCATGTGGTGCTCGTCCGCATCTGTCACTGTAAGCAATTACAGAAACATCTAGGAGCTGAACATGCGCAGCTTCAAGCGGAATGCTGAGATTGAGTCAATGTAACGTGCGCAGAAACGACAACATCATCGTACATGAGTCAGCTGTCCGTTTATCTTTTCCTGACATGATGTTTCACCCCGTCCCATTCCTACCAGCGCCTTTCCGTTTTCGATTTCTCCTTTTCACTTCATAGTAAATGAACAGGCCAGGCTCCCTCTGCATCGCACTTCACTTTTGGCCGTTGGGTTTCCCAAAATGCGCGCTGCCCTTCCTCCACAGTCACACAGGCCAGACCTCCTAGGCGCTTACAGTCCTCCAAGCTATGACCTGCTGGAACCCGCCTGAAAACCTTGCCGGCCAATCCCAAACCCAAACCGGTTAGGAACGAAACAAATAAAAAGAAAGGCAATCAGCCAAGAGCACACGCCAACCTAGTGCGCACATTGTAACAGCTGAGAAACTCACTTCCTTTCGAGGGCCTTCATGTCACACATTCTCGTCCCAGGATCCACAGTACAGCGCATGGCGATCCGTTGTGGCCATCGATGGCCGTCTACCCTGCCAAGGTTTATTCCCTTGGGGGTCTGGGGCCCCTGCAACACGTACTTACAAGTCACAAGTTCCGCACGAGTGCTGAGGAATACGTGCTACTACTATTACTATTACCATAATCGCCCTCGCAAATCCTGCCTACTGCTCAGCCTCATGTGCCTGCCCGAGATGTACCAGTCAATACGCCGTACGTCACAACGCCCGTGCATATCTCGCTCCCCGCATTTCCTTGCCCCAGGTAGGAGCAGTGTGTTTTCTCTGTTCTCGGTTAGTTCGTTGATCTGGGTCTTCGTCCAACCGCAAACCCCGGCAGGTCCGTACCCAAAACTCCATTCATTCCACACGTGTACCTTTTCCTTTCCATTGGGGTGGTTTTTAGGGTTTTTTTTTAACAATGCAATGATGACGGACAAACGGCAGCGGCTCTGTCTGTTAACTTCGCTTTCGTGGTGAAGTTAAACTGCCTCAGGTGGCCTTACAAGTGTCAGCGCCTTTCTTTGCACATCATATATTTCCCTTTTCGGGACACCTTCACACCCGGGGGAGCTCCGGCCCCCCATCCCCCGCCATTTCGGCGACCTGTCCCCCACCGTGGTACATCTCTCACTTCAACGCGAGCGTGGGAAGAATGGTATCACCGTACGTACCTCCGCACATCTCCGGTGGCGAAAGGTATGGACATCTCGTGTGGTTGCATTTCTGTCTCGCTATCCCCAAATCCGCTCTCCCTGGGGGCTTTCCCCTCTTCCCCCTTCCCCTTCAGTTTTCCTTCCTGACAGAAACAATGGCACCGCTGAAGGCATGCTTTGAAGGCGGCCGCGATGCCGAGTACAGGGCCCTTCATTTTTTCAAGTCCGATGTGCAAACCTGACTCTTTCCTCCTCCTCCTCCTCCTTCTCGGCTTCCTCTATGGAATGAAGCTGGTTGAGAAAAGAATTTTGGTTGAGGAACATGTTCGGGTATTATGACGTGAGGTGCAAAGGTGCAAAGGTGTATTTGTGTGTCAAAGCACCGGTGTGGCGACACGGTGATCCATGTGCAGCGGACGACATGTGCCGTGAAGGAAGGAATAAAAGCGGCTTGTCCTCCTTGTTCCCCCGCGCCGTGTGCCGCACCGCTCAGGGCGTCTCATGCTATGTTCATGTCACGTCATGGTGTCGTTGTCCCACTGTAACACATGTGCCGCACTCCATGACATGTCCGCATAACATCGCACGCTGCGAGAGTGCATCTCCTCTCCCTCCCTCCCTCCCCCCCCTCCCAATCGCGTGTGGTTCGTCTTTTCCCCCCCCCCCCACACACACACATCCGCAAGCTTGGTAGTGAAGGCGGGTCGCCCCACCACCCGCTCCACTCCACCCGCTCCCAACATTCAAAAAGAAGTGCGCCTTCCCCTCTCCTCCAACTTGCCGGCCCTACCACCTCCCCTACCACCTTCCTACCACCTCTACCACCACCTCCCCCACCACAACCATCGAGGTTACCCTTACCACCGCAACCTCCTTTCCTCTTAAGAACTTCCGACCGGAAGAAGCATAACATGAAGACCGGAAGAAGCGAACTCTCCTCCCAGGGATAACCATTGAAGGGGGCCAAAGGGGGCCCAAGATACCCCTTCTACCACATGGCTGTTCCCGGTCTGCCTTGGCTCCTTCTTCCGCCTACCCAGCAAACCCCTAGCCTTTTTCCTTTCCAGGCGCTTTGTGTCTCTGTATCCATGAATGAGCTCCTGTAGAGCGATTCTCGAGGGTCTGACCCAGGGTGGGGCTCTGAACTGCTTTTGTGCCGTATACCCCCATCTCCTTGAATATTCACTTATTGTACTTGGGGGAAGAAAAACTCCAACCCATGCTTTTTAGCCCCCTCCCCGAAGATCTACCGTTCATCTCGTTCGTCATAATTTTGAACTCTTTCTCGCCCTGCGTTTCGTTTCGCCCCTCCGTTCACCTTTTTCCCGTCTCTACTTCCCACGGACACATACACACCCTCACAAGTCTGCCTTTCCAAAACAACTGCCGAGGAGCCATGGGAGCCTCGCCAGTCCCGTTAACCCTGCGGGCCCCAGGCTCCAGATCTGCCCCCCAATGTCCCCAACCCGCGGGATGTGTCACCAGCAACGCCGCCATACGGCTGCTGCGGCTGTTGCTGCATGCCATGTTGCAGTTGCTGTTGCTGCTGAGGGTAGGGTGCTGGCGGCTGCTGTTGCTGTTGAAGTTGCGGGGGCCCCAAATGCTGCGCATGGTGCTGGTGATATGGTTGCTGCTGCTGCTGCTGCTGCTGTTGTTGCAGTTGGTGTTGTTGGTGGTGATGGAACGGAGGTACACGCGGGAAGGACTGCGGTGGCGGTGGTTGTGGTGGTGGTTGCTGTTGTTGCGGTTGGTTCTGTTGCTGTTGTTGCTGGTGGTTGTGGTGGTGATGATGTGGCAAGTATTGCTGTTGCTGTGCATACAGGTGTTGTTGTTGCTGCTGCTGTTGCTGCAGGTGCTGCTGTTGCTGCACTTGCCGATACGCCGCTGCCTGTCGCTGTTGCTGCTGCTGCTGCTGCTCCCAAGAAGATACAGGTACTGAGTTACCGGCCGGCTGCTGCTGCTGCTGTAGCGGCTGCTGGCCCAGTGACTGCCCCGGCTGTCGCGCCATCTGGTTTCCATGCGTGTGTGAGAATTGCGCCGAGGCCTGCAAATGCTGCTGCTGCTGCTGATATCCCGCTTGGGGCTGTTGCTGTGACGGCTGCTGCTGCTGCTGCTGCTGCTGCTGCTGCTGATACGCCGTTTGCGGCTGTTGCTGCTGGTGCTGCCAGAGTGCTTGCAAGGGAGGGGATTCCGAAGCACGTGGAAGTTCTGGGCTGACTGCGGGCAGCAGCGTTTGAGGCGGTTGCTGCTGTTGCGATGGCTGTTGGCCGTACGGCAACGTGGGAGTGTGCGTTGAGGAACGCGCGTGTGTTGGATGCGGTGTGTGCCCCCCTGAGGTACCCTGCACCTGTTGCTGTTGGTGTTGATTCAACGGCGTTTGCTGTTGCAGTTGTTGTTGCTGTTGTTGTATGGTCTGCGGAAGGTACTGCCCGTGCATGTGAACCTGATAGGTGGCTGCTGCTACCTGCTGTTGCTGTTGCTGTTGTTGTTGATGTGGTGGTGGTGGTGGCGCTGGTGGTGACAGGGGCTGCTGCTGCTGTTGCATGTGATTTGGTTGAAGGCTTTGGCCTTGGCTGTAGCTGTGGGTGTCTTGGTGCGGCTGTGTTTGCCCGCCGTACTGCAGCTGCTGTTGTTGCTGTTGCAGCTGGTATTGTGTTTGCTGGTCCTGGCTTTGAAGGTCGTCTGGCAGCTGCTGCAGCTGCTGCTGCGGCGGCGGTAGAGGCGTCGGTAGCGGTGGCTGATGCCTCAAATGAGCCCCATGACCTGCTAGGCTGAGGCCGCCGCCGCCGCCGCCGCCACTGCGCCCAAGCAGCGGCGCCGATGGCGGCGCCGCCAGCACCGGCGGCGGCGGCGGCATCTGCCCATGCAGTACCGGTACACCAGAGCCACCGCCGTGGTTCTGTGCCGCCAACGCTAACGGCAGTTGCTGCTGCGCCTGCGCCAAATTCTGCGCCGACAAAGCGCTTACACCCAGCAATCGGTCCAGCGGCACGCCTAGCGTTTGCAGTACGGCACGGAGTACGCACGGTACGTCATGACGGCTGAAGCCCATATGCGTGTCGCGAACCCAGCGGCTGCCGCCGGCGCCGCTGCCGGCGGAGGGCAGCCCCGTGGCCTGCACCACCCCCTCCACATCGGTACGACCGTCGCGTACGAGCACCAACACCCTGGTACGGCAGTGTAGGCGGCAAGTGGGATTCTTAAGAATGCCGGGTAATGGAAGAAGACGTCGAGTGCCCAACCACCGCGTTTTAGGTTGGTCTTCAGATTTGGTCGTGTAGGGTTTCAGGGTTTCAAAGATGAGATCGGACTTCGGTTGCAGCGGTTGAGGCAACGAGGCCTAAATCTGTCAGGCAAATTCCCTTGCTAAGACCCCGTCCGTCCCGCCCTCACTCTAGATCCGGATCCGGATCTGGATCCAGATCCACCCACCTGTGACTTGGTCCCACGCGGATCTCCATTGCTGACGTCAACAAGGAGGTGCTGCAGGACCGCCATCGCAGCGTGATGTACGGCAACGCATGGGCCTGTCGTACAGAGGAGAAACGTACAGGGAGGAAGGATGCGAGCCGTACAGCATAAACACACACACGCGTAGTAGTGAGAGGGGTTTAGATTTTTCAAAACCACAATCACACACACCATGACGCAATCACACCATGTCGCAATCACAGCAAAACATTTTTAAACTTCCGATCTCTGAAATTCTGAACGAAGACGAGGGAGGGTCAAACTGAAGGTTTGCCGGTTCTGGTGACGGCCGTTGGCGCTCCGAAACCGATGTACAGCCCCCAAATCGGCCATAACGCCAACAACCCACACCCAAACCCACACGAACACTCGTACAGACATTCACACACACATGCATGCAGGCAAGCAACATCGCTTCATCTTACCAATCTGGAACTGCAAGAGTTCGAATTCCTCTTACATCACTCTACCGCCGTTTCTTACCCGCTAGCAAGTACGACACAAGGATCAGCTCAGGGCCCTACCTCCAGGTCCAAATGATAGATTTGATGATCGCGAAATACGATATGGTTCAGCAAAGCTGCCAAATCAGGCAACAGCGGCACCGACGATAGGACGCCGCCGTACGCCGCGCCGCCGTACGGGTGATGCAGGCCGCGCGTCCCGACCGCGGGGCGTGGCGGCGGCGGCTTGTACGGCGGCGGCAGACGGCACGCAACCAGATGCTCCAACATCAAGGGTCGCAGCGCCGCTAGGGAGGGGTCTGACGTCCGTAGCACGTTCTGTGCGGCCTGTGTGCGGGAAGGAGTTGGCAGTTGGTTGGACCATGTTCGGAAAAATGTTTTTATGTTTAGGATTATTGTAAAAGTTTTAAGTTTTTTAATCCTTTCCAGAATTTTTTTCGTAAATTTTGGGGTATAATGTCGTATTTTCACAGTACAAGGGGCCTCTAATTTAAACCTTACTCGAGGGCTTTTCGGGTTTAGCACCTTTTCCATCAAATAGATTTTATTCATAAACCGACATATTTATTCTTGTGCACGGGGGTTCCCTGATTTGTGCACCATTGCTAGGAAGGAGCGATGGAGGGAAGCGCATGGGGACTCAAAACACGTAAAACCCACGAAACCGCGGAAGAATGCACGACACCAGACGACGCACACCCGAGGTAAGTTCCCCCCTACTCCCTCCACCTTCACATCCCTCCACCTTCACATCCCTCTACCTTCACATCCCTCCACCTTCACATCCCTCCACCTTCGCATCCCTCCACCTTCACATCCCTCCACTCCCCCCCCACCCTCATTCCGCAACAACTAAATTAACCACCAACCCCCAGCTTCTTTCCCCCTCACACCGCTAACCCTACCAGTCATCAGACGAACCCACCAGTCGCGCTAAACTGGTGTGTACGGGATGCGCGCCGCCACTACCCCCGCCTCCGCCAGCGGGGGCGGCGGCGGCAGTAGCACCGCTGGTGCCGGCCCCTCCGGCGGCTGCTGCCCCCGCTCCGCCTCCCTGTACGAGTCCCTGTGACGCGGCATCGCGCTCAAGCCCCGCCGCCACCCGCCGCCACAGCTGCCGCCGCTGCAGCTGTAGCAGCAAGGCGTGCACGCGACGTGAGCCCACCACGAGCTGCGTCCGGGCGCCTGGCCGGGGGGAGAAGAGGTGGGGAAGACGAGTCACGAACGGAGTGGAGGAGATGCCAAAGGTAGAGTGGGGAAAGAGGGAGAGGAAGAGGGGGAAAGAGGAAGAGGGAGAGGAAGAGGGGGAAAGAGGAAGAGGGAGAGGAAGAGGGGGAAAGAGGAAGAGGGAGAGGAAGAGGGGGGAAATGAAGCACGGACAGTTCCGAGGCACACCCTTCCGACAGCTAGCTACCCGGGGGAGGGAGGGGGAGACAGAGAGGCGGGGAGGTCCCTAGGAATAACAATATGGTCTGGGGAGCAGGTGTCTGTACGGTATCGTGCGTGCATTTAAAATCTGAGCCGCGTGTGTGTCTTGCTCTCCGCCACTTACCCTTTCCGTTAAGCCGCGTCTCCCCCACTCGGCTGGGGTCGTTCACATTGGGTCGCTCCAGGGGAAGTTCCAACTTAAGGGAGCGGAGGGAGGGGTGGGGAGAAGGGCCGTGTGTGCGCGTGTGGGTATGTATGCCCGTGTATGGGTGTGTATGTGCGGGGGTGGGATGACTCCACATGGTTGGAAAACGAAACAATCCAACAACTGCAACAAACCCTAAGCCCCCCGAGATATTAAAAAAGGCGGCGGTGCCGTCTTTCCCCCTCTCCTCCCCCATATACGACCCCGTTTCCCCCCCCCCCCTCGTTCACAAAAAAAACCCTCCCCCTAAGTACCCACCGACCGCACACGCACCCGCATCCGCAAAGAAACATATACACTCTGAAAACTTGAAAAGACGTTGCCGGATGGCTTTCCCACTCCCACTCCCCTTCCGCCCCTTCCGGGGTATGGGGCGCGCCAGCTCCTCTTGCACTCACCCCAAGCGCCTCTGTGAACCCCAGAACACCCCCACACCCCCACCAACTCGCCGCCATCGTCCCCCCCGTCCCTCCCGGCACCGCACCGACCTGCACCCGCAGCGCCCCGCCGTCGCCCTTCATCAATGGAACCAACAGCGAACCACTTCCCAACTCGTACGTGTTGCCCGTCAGAGCCTGACCCGCGGCAAGGCTGCTGGCGGCGGAGGCGGCGGCAGCAGCGGCGGTTCCGCCGCTGCCGCCATCGGCGGCGGCTCTGCCGCAATCGACGGCGGCTCCGCCGCCGCCGCCGGC